CGCCGCCTCTCGGGACACAGGTGCGTGGCGGGGCGGGGTGATCCGTCGCGGGCGCGTAAGGGTTAATCCGTGTGGAGGCGGGGGTGTGGATGCCTTGTCACCCCGTGTCCTTGTCACTGTGTGTGTGTGCGTCAGTGTCCCAGAGCCTGCGACCGTGGCTGCCTTGTGACTGGGCTGAGCCAGCAGTGCCAGGAAAGTGGCATTCTGCCCCCACGCGATGCACCCACTGCTGCCAGGGGAGCCCCAGGTTCCCTGCAGGGCTGGTGGCTAGACAGGAAGAATGAGTTGATGGCTGCCCCTGCAGGGCAGGCCATATAAGCCTAAGGTGGCAAACGTCAACCAGGGAGAAAGCCCTGGTACCCTGGGGGTGCCTCGAGCTGTTCAAGCGGGTGCTACGCCAGGCTCACACTACTGCTGCGGTTGGCCACTGTTGTCCACAAGGTAAACCCCGAGGTTTCTAATGGAAATTCACATCTGCAGTCTTTCTGGGCTCTTCTCAGCAGGAAAAGCATGCTGAAGTTTTTCTCTTGTCAAAAAAAGAGTGAACACTAAGAGCTGGCATGTTCACAGGTGCCGCGAGCCTGTTCCAGGGTTGCCTTGAGTCATTAAAGGTTGAGTCGCTTTGGTGTAGGGGGTGTTGATTGTAGCCGAGTTGGTCTAAGGACATGGGCAGACAAGGTTCTTTAGGTAAATGTGATGTCTTTTATTAAATCAACTAAATAGTTGGAAAAACAGTTGGTTTGTACCTGAACGCTTGCAAAGAACAATTTTTCCAACTGGTCAAGTCTAATAAAAGATACCACATCTACTCGAAGCAACTTGCTTGGTGCAAGGGAACATTCAGGCACCTGAGATTTTTCGCTCTGGAGTTGTTTTATCTGCTCACCCCAATTGGTCCAGTTACCCAAGCACAAGGTGCTGCTAGAAAGCTTAGTTGGAAGGGCGTGAAGATGGGATTTGTTAGATTGAACCTGCAGTAGGGATGGCAGCACTCCCAAGACACCCCATGTTCTTGAAGCCCTGTCTATATGAAGTGTGTAAAGTTGTCTGTTCTAGGTGTTATCTTATAGAACGTGTGTCTGTGCTGACCCTTCATCATTCTTGTTAGTAACAAAATCTTGTCCCTCTAGGCTAGGTACAGACATTAAAAATGCCTGAGGCAGAATCGATCTAAGCTGCGTGGTTTTCTGTAAGTGGCCTAGTTTAGATTGGTAGCTAACAGAACACACATTTGCCTTTTAGTGCGGGGGGGGGGCAAATTTTAGACAGGGTTCTGTCACTTTTAAACCCGTCTGTGTGCGGTGAACTTCTGTTCTGTTACAGGTATAGACCAGTTTCCGATCACTTATACTGGTAAAAGGGTAATGTTTGTACCGGCCCTGGAATCTACCAGCCCCATACAGTACGGATAAATTGCCCTGCAAGCTTCCTCTGTAACTGTCC